CGAACCTACCTTTACCTTTCTTCGTCCTACTACCCTACCCCCAACCCTACTACAACTAACTACCCAAACCAACGGCGTCCTTCCTACCTCCTCTCTCTCCTCCTCTCTCTCTCTCTCTCTCTCTCTCTAGAAGCGGTTTTCGCCCTCGAGGGTCGGTTTTTCCCCTGAAAGAAATAAAGAGAGGGCACCAAAATTTTCAACTCAATATAAATGGATAACACATTATTCCATCTTTCTTATACGTTCCAAAATTTCAATTCAATGCTTTGAAAACAAACGACAAAGCATGAAAACCACTACATTGCGACTTTCTGAGAGCTAAAACCGCTGGATAAGCAGTTTTTGGACCGCCAACAAGCGGTTTTGAAAGTACGGAACGGACCTTGAAGCCGGTATTTTGGTCCCGGGAAACCTCTTTTTTAGTATGGTTTACCGGTGACGTGGGATGAGTCGGTGGCTTTTCGGTAAGGAGGGTGACGATCAGCTTACATAGTAAACAGCCAAGGAAGATACGACACGTGTCGGTGGAACGGGTAGGGGGTTGGGCTTGTAGGCCAAGATCGATTGATCCGACGGCTGTAAATCGTTGCAGCTCGGACCCGGCAGGGTCCGGCGTGGGACCCTCGATTGGTTGTTTGCTATATTTTTCCTGAAATGTATATATCTCGGAATTAGTCCTTCGTAAAGTCAATAACGTCATATGCACCCCTACGTTTTTTTCATTCTCTTTGTTACCAAATAATATATGAACGTGAAAAAAAACAGTAATATATTTTTAGACCTTTAATTTTCAATAATTTGAAGTGTTCGTAGATTGCCCGATATACATTATTTTTGAAACTTTAAATGTTATAATTAGACATAAGAATAAATTTTCAGATCAATTTAAACAACGACACCATTTGAAGGCACATCTTACTTTGATTGTGGAGGGCCTGGGCCTTGTACAAAACACACCCACATTATATTGCCTTGTTTTTTACCGTATAACTATTTTCTTTTGTAGTAAATAGTTCTTTGAGGGTGAATGACCAGTGAAATTCATTGAATTTCGATTGATTTAATTTAACATGAAGTTAATCCATGGTATCATAGGAGCCAAAAGATATGCTGCTCCTGCAGGAGCATACTCAGTTTGCTCTCTCAGCCAATTCTCAAGCTAGGAATACTTTGAAGACCTAGTGTTTAAAGGATGCAACCTAGTAAGCAAAGCAATCGACCTCAAAAATGCACATTTTAAAATTGCATGTTCTATGTTCGTGAAGAAAAATGTCAACAAGGAAGGTCTTAATATTGTAGGCCAAGATTTGTTCGAGAATTCAAATTTTAATTTTTCTTTGAAAATTTTTAGTTATTCTTAGTTAGTTGAAAAATTTTTATAGAAAAAAATCCAAAACTTTAAATAATAAAATCCTTGAAAATATCTATTTTATTTGAAGGAGTTCTTGTGCAGTATACACCTGTGGAGTAGGTATTGTCATGGGCATCCAATTGTTTGATGGACAGTCATCAAGTGCTCGTCTTCATCACCGTCTATCAATCGGTTGGGGGGACCACAATATTTCTCTATTGTCATATGAATAATAGCATACTCTCCATTGCGTAGAAAAAGAAGAAGACAACACAAAAAATAAATAAATAAATAAATAAAAAGAAATAAAAAAAAAGGAAAAATTGTTTTATGCGGGCTTGACCGCATTTCTACATAGGCGGCCTAGAAAGTGTAAAGTATCCATCTTAAAAATGGATGTAAGTAGGTGTTTCATCTAAAAACAATTGGAACTAACGGTCCAGATGTTTTCTTACTGGAATTATTATTTCAAGTCTTTAAAATTTATTTATTTATGCATATTCATGATCTCCATATTAGATATTACATGTCTTTAAAAATTAATTCTTAAAATCCATCTCAAAAATAGATTTATTGAGAGGCCTGCATTTCTACATATGCGGGCTTGGCCGAATAGAAACCGGGTAAAAAAAAAAAAAAGCAACTGTAAAAGAGAAGAGGGTGATATTCTGTTATTAAAAATCAATTTCGTTGAAAAAGAGATGGCCTCATTGTCAAAGGTCGTTCTTTACATTCGTTTGAGTTGGCTTCCTTTCTTTCTCAAAAAAAAGAGAAAAGATAAAAAAAAAGATAAATATAAAAGAATATCGTGGTCAGCTCTCTGGATTTTCTTGCAAAACAGCCAATAATCCAGCCAGTCAACTTTAAGAAAACGACTAATTTGAACTTAGTTCAAAGGAAAAGAACCATGTTCCTTCTCAAATAAGCATATTATTCACAAATTTCAAAGAAAATAAAAATAAATAAAAGACTTTTAAGGATAATTTTTTTTTTTTAAAATGAACTAGAAAAGAAAAGTAAAAAAAATGGTTAATAGGGGTTAGCAGTTTTATCATAAATAAATAATATAAGTTCATAACTCATGATAAGATTTGACAAAGTTTTAATCTAGTAGTCTACCAACCAAATGTAACCCAACCCCTTTACCCATACATAAGATGGGTGCATGGGATGAGTTACATAGAAGTTTAAGGTCTTAACCATTTTTAGGTCATATATGTACCTGATGCTATTTCAACATACGATCTCTAGGATTTTCAATGGTACAAAGTAATACGCAAAGGACAATTTTACATAGAGCCGAGGCTCTAAACAATTAAATTAAAGCTCACCTCAAAAGTTTCAATAGCAGAGCTCAAATATCCTCAAATTTGATCATTTCGATATCAAGATGCATGGACATGAGAAAAAGATGGATTTAAATCTTGAAAATAGTGCATCTTGTAACGCATTTTTTGGCCGTCAATTTTCAAGATTTTGTAAATCTATTCGATCTACACTATTTTTAAAAACTTTAAATTTTATAATTAAAATAAGAAGTTTATTTTAAAGCTATCACAAAGATTTCCAATATTGAAACCACATTGTTGGATCCTATTTGAAGGTGTATTTTACTTTGATTGTTTAGAGCTCGGCTCTATATAAACCGCAAGCTATTATTATCTATTTTGTCATTGTTGTATATTTTTATTGGAGGTGTTCTTCCAAATTAATTTAGTTTTTTATTTGAAGTGTCACGCGTGGTGGAATATTTATGAGGTAGAGAAGCCACCGTCTTAAATTGTACTTAATTCAATTTTATTTTGCAAACTGCAACTTCCCCTTTGTCCCAAACTATCCTGTCCCTCTCTAGATAACAATATGATGATAATAGAGAGAGGGAGTGGAGGAGAGAGAAAGAGTGGAGAGAGAGAGAGAGTCACTTTCATCAAATTATTAATTAAACTCGGGTAGATAACAATGTGCTCTTAAAAGGGTAGGAGGGAGAGGGAGTTTCATGAAATGAGAGAGAAAGAGCATTTGGAGAGAGAGAGAGAGATATCATTAGATAGAGAGATACATGGTTTCTAGAGAGAGAGTCACTTTCATGAAATGAATTAAAAAATGTAGAGATTAGGTAAATCCCAACGCCCCCAAGATATTAAACTACTATTTTAGAGAGAGAAAGAAAAGGAGGGGGGAAGAATGGGAGCTTTGGAACTTCAACTGGCTCCGCCCGTTTAGGCTTCCATGCCCATGCCTTTTCCAATTCCTGCGATCTTCCCGTGACGACACGTAGCCACTTAAAATGACCGATTTATCCTTGTACTTTCCCTTAATGGTAGTTTCATCCCGCTTTTCGTTTTTACATTAAGTTTACCGTATGGACCAGACTGTTTATTTTTTATACAAAAAAGTAATAATTATTTTAGCTATAAGATATAAAATTTATTATATAAAAGTGTAACACGATATTTTTGAAATTTTATTTGGGACTTTACATTAAAACAATGACATATCTTGAACCACTTCATTTCAAATATAGTAGTCAATAGTGAATATGATTTACTTTGTATCAAAAGTAAAATCGTCTTATGGTATATATTTTATATTTTTTATATAGGTATTGACAGTTAGACTTAAAATCATGCAGTGCAGGATGTATCATTGTTTAAACACAAAATTCAAAATAAAATTTTTCCGCTATTGCAAAACAATTTCATATATTGGATTTCAATCTCATTGCTAAAAATGATCGCAACCTCCTCGTACTAAAAAAAAAATAGTCTCATTGTACAATCCCAAAAGTTATAGCCATGAGTGTACATCATAGTTTAATCAATGAATGAAAGGTGATGGAGTGGTCCTACTAGTTGGGGTCGTGTTCTCGTGGCTCCAATCTTTCTCCTCACCGTATACCAATGAATTGGAGGGTGATAATACTTGAGTTCGGACCCTACCTTCTATACAACCTTGTTAACTAAAAGTGGTTTGGGGACCATAGTTGTCTGCTTGGGTCCAAATGCTCTCATCATCATGTATCAACGGATTGGACGGTGATAGCATTTATAATTATATCCTCTCTATGATCATTCAATATGCATGTATATTTGGATAAAACTTAATTTTATCTCGAACAGACTGTCTTATCTAAAATCAACTAGATAATACTATGTTGTTAAATGATTCTTACATTTCTTTTGTATATAATTTTAAGGGTTATAAAACGCATTCCTTAGACGGTAGAAGTAAGCGCATCTCTAAATTTTGTCTAGCGATGTAGTTTCGAAAACCTTATGATGGCTTGAAAATCTATTATGATCTCTAGTAATGAAATTTAAAATTTTAAAAATAGCACAAATTATAAATATTAAAAATAGACCGTCAGATAATTTACTGCAAGATACACTACATTTGGACTTAAAATTCTTTTTCCTTTATATTTATACATCTTGATGTCTAAACGATCAAATTGGAGGGTTTTCTAACATGGGAACACTTTTATAGATGATTTAGATACATGTTATTTCAATAATATAAGGTTGACACCTTTGTGTAAAATTTCCTAATATTAATTAATTAGTTAACTTTTCTTAGTGCCTCATCTTTTTTAGCTATTTTACGAAAGTATGGAGAACGATTAG